AATTCCTAACAAAAGAGTGAGTAGCATGTATCAATCACTATCCATTATGTTTTGTTAGATAACCTACAATTTTACAGATAAATTAAAGATAGCCGGAGTAAAATTCCAAAAATGTGCTCATCACCACGCCAAAGATTAACAGCTAGCTCCACACAGTGAGCTACAAAATACCACAAAAGAAGTATTTTGGTTTCAGGTGGCTTAAAGAAACACTGATACGCAATTACCTGGTTCCAGTACCTAATAGCTTGAAATAACAAGTAGAGTTCAACAAGTATACTAAGGTACAAATGCCTCCTCTCCTTGGTTTTCTTGAAGACTGAAGTTGTATCTCCTCACCTCGCTAATGCTTAGCAAAGCTGCAAGAAGAGGAGTGGAGATTTGGGGGACGGGAGGGAAGGTGATAGGGGAACGGCTGAGTACCTTGAGCAGCCACTACTAGGGAAAAGCTTATAGGTAGACGCTTACTAGTAGCGCGGATTTATACCCCTCGCTGCTACTACTTACTAGTAGTGCGGGTTTATACCCCTTGCTACTACTAAGTTGATAGTAGTAGCACGGGTCTATTCCCCTCGCTACTACTAAGTGGTGTCTACCGTGCCCCCCGGGACATGCCATAGTAGTAGCGAGGGGTATAAACCTGCACCCGCGCTATTACTAAGTTGATAGTAGTGATGCGGGTTTATACCCCTCGCTAGTACTAAGTACATGATTTTTTTAGGAGCCCTGAAATCCCCATCTCCTCCCCCAAATCCTTCCTCTCCCCCATCACTCTCCCCCCTTTCTCTCCCTAGGCTCTCACATGGACCTCCTACCCATGCACATCTCCTTCTCCATGGCGCGAAAAGAGGCCGCTGGCGTCCCGGAGCTCGCCGGTCTTCGCCGCATCTCCATGCCACCACACCGGAGCACCTCACCATCGGCGACCAACCCCGCTGCTACCTCCATTTCCTTCCTCGCTTCCTTGTTTTTCTTTTTGTCTCTCTCCCTCTGGTTTGACTCACCCTCCCATGTCCTTCCCGTGCAGGTTGTCGTCATGGATGACCAGGAGCTCGCTACATTTGCTGCGAAGAGGAGCCCAACGCCGCCGCCTTGATCGGCCATGGATCTGGGCCCTCTACAGCAGCCGTCGCTGGATCTGGTCTGACGTTGCCCTTTCGCACCTCCGGCGACCACTGTCGTCGCTGGATCGAACCATTGCTGCCATTGACAGCACGCAGGGGATCGAGAAATTTTTTGTTTTTGAAATTAATAATAGTAGTGCGAGTGGCAACCACGCTACCACTAACAGACGTAGTAGTAGCGCTGGTGCGCCCGCGCTACTACTATAAGTTAGCTGTAGCGCCGTAGTAGTAGGCGTCGCTACTACTAGCTGTTTAACCCGCGCTATTACTAGGCTTTTCCCTAGCAGTGAGCAATGTGGTGGTCGGCGGCTAATGCAGCAGTAAAGAAAGAAGCGGAAGTTGTTGTTGTTGGTTAATCATGTGCCGGGTGCATGATTAATCATCGCCAAATGCAGGCTCGCTGCTAAGTCGCCTCTATATAAAGCTAGCGTAGGGATTTCCCATCACATCACCAAGAAACTCAAACATCGAACGAATAGAAGAGATAGACCGGCCATGCAATATTGCTACTTGTGTTTTTCTTAACTTGCCTACGCGCATAGCTTTGCTCTTACATGCCTTGCTACTTGTCTTAAACACTGCAATTTTAAGGAGTTCATGTTGATAATTAAAAGCAGCCCAAGTACTAGGTATATTGTTATGATGCAAGCTACAATACCCACGCTACCGAATGAACGCAACACCAGTGAATTCATATACAATAGTTGTATTACGTCTACCCTCGGGATAATTTAAGCATGTAAAAAGTTGTTCAATCTCAACCTCCTATGTTACATAAATATCAGGAATGTATCTACCCTCAAACTATGAAGTTTTAATTTTTCGTTTGGCACATGCTCATTGTAGGATTTCTTTGGTTTTCTCATTTTTTGGGTATTGTTTCATGTTCTTTTCCTAAGATATGTGCCGAATATTTTGTAATACGTGTTCAGCAATTTTCATATACATGTCGTACATTTTTCAGATACATGTTGAACATTTTTTTAATAGCATATTTTTTGAATTTTGCAAAAAATAATTTAAAATCACGATTTTTATTAAAAACATGAACATTTTTTGAATTCATTTTTAAAAAAAATTGTGAACAATATTTCAAATTTATGAAGATTCCTTGAAATCTAGAAACAATGAACCAAATAGAAAAAGAGGGAAAATGAACAATGAAAAAAAGAAAAGAAAAAAACAAAATAAATGGAAAAATAAAGAAACCAAAGAAAGAAGAAAAGAAAAGAGGAAAACAGACAAGCCAAAACAGAAACAGGAGAAAACTAGAAAAAAAAAGTAGTTCAGAAAAAACAAATGCTGCAGGGAACCACGAATGAAACAACACCCCAATTGGGCTGACCAAACTCGCCTCGCATGCTGGTGTCGCCCCATCCATTTGATGCTTCCAAATGGTGGTACGGTACATTTAACTAGACCATGATGGCGCGCGTTGCTGCGCCCGCCAATTTTATAATAGACTGATAAAATATCATGCAATTTTTTTAAAATGTAAAATATAAAAATTAAACTTGCATGAACTAACCCGTATATTAGACAATGATAAAAAAAGTAATATTGCGATTGTCTCGGAAATAGAATTAGGCAAGTGATTGCTCTAATTTTTAAATGAATAGTGTCTATGAAAGATATCAAGGAAACAAAAACATGAATAAGTAACATAGGTTTAGAGAACATACATGATAGTCAATAGCACGATTGGTAAGATAAATTAACCGGACAATCTTTTTTGCTTAGTTAATCAATGAGACAAATCTTTTATCTTTGTTTTAAAAAATAGTGTTGCTTCCCCTAAAAAAAGAATTAGCGCCGCTTGATTCCAATATTGATAGACCTTGTCATCGTTGCCACGCGCCCATGAGGGAGGAAGGCAGTGGGGCATCGATGTTGTGTGGCGCTGCGACACCAACACGAGCAACAATAAATTTTTTAGAACCACCGTCTATTGCAAAATGTTTTGGGAAATATAGATAATAGATGGCGGAGACGTTAGCCAGACATGATGGCACGCCCACAAAGAAGACGCGACTTTCACAAGATTGTGAGCCTCAACATTGCTGGTTCGTCTTTCATGTTATAAAAAAGCAGTAAAAAATTCTTTTTGCCTTGAAATAAACTCACTAACTATGGCAACATTGCTAACTTGGTTTTCTTCCATGATATTCTTCAGCTCCTCCATACAGTCTGTGGCCATTTGCACGCGAGACAGGTTGAGATCAAAGGCAGAAGATAATGCCCCGCTCACACGCAGCTACCTAATATTTTTTTGAGAAACAGCTTTTTTTAGCAAAATTTGGGAAACAACTACTTACGTTTGTGTTTCATATACACTTTGTCCGCTTAAACCAGTCCACCGGCCCAAGAAACAATCCAGGCTCAATCAACCACAGCTGAAGTAGATAGTTCCGTGGAGCAGCAGCCCGAGAGATGTCCAGGCAAGCGATCGTACGGCTAGCAACGCCAAAGCTTTGTGGAGGCTCCCAGCTCGCCCTGTTATATTGTTTAGTAATATGCCATATGTTGCAATTAGCACAAATATTTTTATGCGAAAGTCTATTTTTGGTACGTAATTTTATTAATATCCTCTTTGATTTCCATTATAGAAACCACCACCAAATTTTATGAATTTCAAAATCAAAACAATCATAAAAGGAGAAGGAGCACACAACTAAGCCAGTCCTATAGAGCCAAAACAAGCATGCCCAAAAGAAGCTATTTAAAGCTGCAAACCAATGCCCCAAAGCATTACATGGGCATATAACCCATGAGGTTCACATCCAAGAAACGACATGCTCAAAATATCATAGCAAAGCACAGATAAGACGAAACCAGCTACACAAGCTGGCAAAACTTAGAGCTTTACCCTAACACCAATTCTTGTTCGATTCGAGCCATCACTTCTAGCATAAATTTCTTCAGCAACTTGCTTGATCTGCATCACTCCTTGGTCAATTCTTGCCCTATCTTGTTTTTTTTTTTTTGGCAATATACTCCAAACATTAAGATGATAACATAGCCTATATACTACACTAATGAAGCAGGATCATCAGGAAAGATTTTATCAAAGCAAGCTTTATTCCTGGCTTTAGAACAGTCCAACAGAGATAGCAACCCCCCACACGGAACAATTTTCCTTTGGTCATGAGGGAATGATTTGCTGCTGTTAAAAACCTATAGTACAGAGCGTTTAGATCACTGAAACACTCATATTTTTCTTTACAGAAGAAATACTTTAGTATTAGCGAATATTACATATAGATGGTTTGGGGCAGATCATATGGATTGCCTATGCACAACCGTTGGTGCAGATCATACACTACTGATTCGGAACGAGTGCGATCTGCCCATGGCCACAGCTGACGGGGTGGCAATCTTATCCAGGTCTATCTGCTTGTCGTCCTGCCGATCGATCCCCTCAGCAGGGTCTGCTGGCTCTGGGCTCTCATCGCAAGAAGTGACTAGGCGTGTAAAATGTAAGCAAAGTTGGCAGAAAGCAATGAATCCAGCGCAGGCAAAAGCATCGCCATTCACTGCTCTGCCGACGAGCTCCACTCACTCAGTCGTAGCCCGGCCGTAGGCCCCTGGCCGGCTTGAGCAAGCACATGTCGACATCGAGTGAATTATTGGAGACCCCTGCTCTGCTGCCATGGCAACGTACATGGAATTGATATCTCCCACCCACCACCACTAATATCTACAGTACCCCCCTCTCTCTCTCTCTCTGTGGCTATATAAACTCCTGCATCGTCTTGTATCTACACCACCTTGGCATTGCTAGACAGGACAGCCTATATTGACGTAGACGCAGCAGGAGCAGCAGCAGCGAACTCTGTCAGTTCTCTAGCATCTCCGGTGAAGCAAGCAAGCAGAGAGATGGCGTCCCCTCGTCGCATGGCCGCCGCGCCCGCCGTCCTCCTCCTCGTCCTGCTCCTCCTCGTCGCCACGGGTACGCCCGTCCGTCCGTCCATGGATAGTAGTAATGAGCATCTCTACTCACCGGCCGGCACTTACTTATTGGACTGTGGTTGCATTGCAGAGATGGGGACGATGAAGACGGCGGAGGCCCGGACGTGCCTGTCGCAGAGCCACAAGTTCAAGGGCACCTGCCTCAGCAACAGCAACTGCGCCGGCGTGTGCCGCACCGAGAACTTCCCCGACGGCGAGTGCAACTCCCACCGCCTCGAGCGCAAGTGCTTCTGCAAGCGCACCTGCTAAGCAAGCCCAGTCCGCGCTACTGGCTCTGGCTAGCTAGACTGCTAGATCAGCAGCCATGCCGTCAGTTAGATCTGTTCGTCCCTACTTTTGTTTCCGTTTGCTTTACGTTGCTCTTGGGGATGACTGAAAATAAAGTAGCTACCTACATCCTCTGCATTGGCTGTTCCACTGCATGTTGTCTAAGTGTTTCTGGCTTTAGTTTGTGCTGTTGATGTAATAACGATGCCACTAACAATTTGGCTTCTATGTGTTGTGTTGAAACTTGGAATCAATCGGTTATTAGTTGGCTTGTCTGTTAAACGGAGTAAACAATTGTTTTATTGTTTCTTTTTTTATGAGAGAAACGGAGCAAGCATTTTCATGTAGCAAAACAAAATTTCCCAAGTTTCACAGCTATATTAACTCGACGTGCATGAATGGCTCTGTTTTTTAACATACAAGTTAAAAAAAATTAAATACATGTACAAACATTTTTCAAATACACATAGAGTTTTGTTTAATGGTACAGAAGTTTTTTTACATTGTATAAACTTTTTTTGCAAATACCTGTTTGAATTGTTTTTCAAATACATGCAAAAGATTTTTTTTAATACACGACGAACACATTTTTCAAACGCATGTTCAATTTTTTCTAATGGTACCAAATATTTCCTGGAAACATTGTTTACAGTGTATAAACATTTTTTATAAAATTTCCTTAACATGTTTTTGAAATCATGAGAACATTTTTTCAGATGTCACAAACATTTTTAATTAAAAAAACATGTTCTAAAATTACGCAAAAGAATAAATTGTATAAATATTATTTAAAAATTTCATGAACATTCTTTGAACACCTGAACATTTTTAAATGTTATGGATATTTTTTTCTGAATAGTACAAACATTTTATGATAGTTCACCATTGATGTTGCACATGTCCAGAGTATAGATAATTCTTCTGACACAAAGAAATGTTGCAGATGCACCGCTAATACATATATTTATGACAAGAGGAAATATTTACAGGAAAGAAGAAGCATTTTTTTCTGGAGAGCAGCGTTTCTCCTCCCGGGCTCAAATGAGCCCGGGCAAAATCAGAAAATCTTTAAAAATAGAAAAAAAAATCAGAAGATCCTGAATTTTATTTGGAAGCAAGATGCTCATATGCGTGACGTTCATGCAAAAATAGGTGGAGTTTGGACATTTGAGGAGCGCGCGACAAAAAAGACAAAATTCAGCTCTGTGAGTAAGGTTACTGTTCACGCATTGTTTGGACCGATTTTCTCTTTTTTGCCACGAGCTTCTCAGATGTCCAAACGGGATGAAATTTTGTACGGACATCATGCACGCGAACATCTCCATACAAAAAAACTTCAGATTTTTTTTGAAATTTTCTAGCATTTTCTTTGAATCTACTGTAGCTTAGGAGCAGATGAGCCCGGGCACCGAGTTGGATCTCCATTTTTTCTGAGCAAACTGAAAAGAAGAAGCAATTAAATGGATAATAGCACTAAAACCATATATGGGCCACCCAGTAGTGCAGCCCACCCAGTAGTGCAGTCCAAGTCGCACGCGCACCCCGCACGCGGACTGACCACTACTTGTTGTATATATAAGATAAGAGAAGGCGACGGCGTGGTGAAAGAGAACAAGGAGGGGTGGTGTTGCTCCATCCCTTGTCCTTGGATCGCTGAGGTGGCTCAACCAAGGCCCTCCCTCGCTTAGCTGCTTGACTGATTGGCATCCCTAGACACACATTCATTCCATTTACTCCTACTACAGGAATGGGAGTTAAGTGGCACGGGGTTTCTCACGGCCATTCAATGAGGTTCCTTCCCAAGATGCTGACAACAAGCCAGAGCAATTTATTTGTTTTCCTACATACAACGACTTCACATGCTTCTTGGACCGACCCGTTAAATGCTATATACACAGCCAAAAACAGAGGTGTTTTTCTATGAGAATTATTTAGAACAGTTTTGTACATTTTTAAACATGACCGGCACATGGTGATGAATTGAGTTAATCTGAATGAAGCATGATCATAACTCACACAGCTCTGTGTTCGGCTTCGCTTCGAGTCGCCCCGACGATGCGGAGTCGGGGCATGGACTTGCTCCGCCCATCCTCGCTATATCAACAGTTGCAGGAATTTGGCAAAATCTCAGTGCTTGGTAATTAATTTGAAGCCAACTCACTGAGTCGCTCAGTGGTGTAGTAATCTGGAGAAAAACTCTCAAAGGATAGGGATAGATAGATAGCCATGAAACAAAACGATCACCATGCTAATCAAAGATGCTTATTCACAACACTAACACCCCATATAAAACCCTCTTTGTGGAACATGTGCACATATTTTGACAGAGGTTGTGGCTCTAAGCTTACATCATGTTGTCTAGGTAATTAAGATGAAGTACTATACTATGATAGCAGTCAATATGGGAGGCAGATTCTCATGTCTTCATATATGCTCTACTAAGGTTAATTCAATACTTATTCAACTCATACTTTCTAGAGAATTATATTTTTGGACTCATAATTTCAAGACCCAACACATACCCAAAACCAAGAGAACACAATCAGGCAAGGTTAAAAAAAAGAAGAGAAAACTATCTGCAAAAAAATACTAGTTAAAGCAATACGAACCATAGGAAAATTGATAACATTAATCAAGATAAAATTCGCATTTCAACAAAAAAATTAAATTTAAGGAGGAGTAACCTTCAAAAAAATCAGACATCTTGGCATGCATAGTACTCCCTCCGTTCCTTTATATAAGGTGTATTGTTTTTTTTTAATAAAATTCCACAATGTAAGGTGCATTTCTTCTAATTCTCTTTATATCGCTCCAGAAAGGGGAAATGATCTCTCTCCCCATTTACTATATCTCTCCTTGTATCAAAAGAAGGAAACTTCTCTCTCTCGATTGCATGTATCTCTTACTTTCCTGCACTCACTGATTTACTTGGCACTAACCAACAAATTTGTCGAGGGTAATTTTGTCAACATCTCTATAATTATGGGCCTTCGTTACCGTGCCAAAAATAATACACCTTACATAAAGGAACGGGGGGAGTATTCTTTAGTAAAAGACGGAAGACTAGTCCAAAACATCATCTATTTTAGAATGGAGCAAGTGCTCTGCCTTGCAAAAATGTTGTATTAATTAGAGCGATATTCTAGTTTTTGCACTTGTAGGATCCAACAAAGGTAGCAGAATATGCGCAAGTTGCATGTTAACATAATTCGACGATGATCCACTTGGTTCCTTAATTATTAATACATGATGAAGGAGCACAAGATAATGGGCTAGCTGATCAATCATGCACCAGGGAGAGATAAAATACAGACAAGTTGCAACTGGGATGCCTACATTTACCTAATTAACAACTTTTTTCCAACAAACTATGAGATTTTATGGATTAAAGTTCATAATTCGCACTAGGCATGAAAATGAACAAACAAAAGGGCCATAATTTTTTTTGTTCTATCTGTTTCCATCAATGTAAATCGGGGGCGGAGATGTCCTTATTTTGAAATTAAATAAAATCGGAAAGATTGCTTCTTTTTTTTAAGATCCCGCACTTGCTGGCTTCATTTATTTAGCAGGGAACACACGGAAAACATGGTATTGATCAAGTGATCATGGAATAATGGACAAAAAGAGAAGAATATTGGTGTATGGGCCACCACCATTTGTTTGCTAATTGGATCACTTAAACCACTCGTGTATCATGAGTCATGCATGACACTAGTTAATGAAGTGGACATACAAAGGTAGGGGCACGGTGCATGTTAAACAAGTAAAAGGTGCACCACAAGATCTAGCAGCCAGGTCGGTCGATCCACTTGTGCATGCACAAGGAATAAAATTAAAGCCAACGCTGATTAGAGATGTAGTTGCAGTGCAGGTTCCTTGACGACCCTTGGTGCCATGAAAGATGCATGATACTACCTATGTAGAGTAATATAAGATGTTTTAGATCACTTATATATTACTTTTACTTACATGGTAGATTATTGACTAGATGATGAGTTAATATACAATTTGACGTGCTCGTACGTTGGCATCACAATTCACAATTCCAATTCCCATATGGATCGTCGATGATGCGCATGCATCTCCAGCCACATCCTTTTTCTAAAAAAATGCATCTCCAGCCACATGCATGTCAATGATCAGTTGGTGTGCCTTGATCTCGATTGATTTGGACAGTGATCTTTCGCAACTTGAATTAATAATCACCCGATCGCATCGAGCGAACCAGCGAGCGAGCACCACCATATATATTACTGGCGCACACAACAACCAGCCAGCAGCGTCTACACAGCCAGCCACTAATTTCTTTCTCTCCCTCCCCTTCCGCGATCGGCCGATCGAGCTCTGATCGCCATGGGCAGCGTGGCCGCCGCCGTGCAGGAGGACTCCACGTCGCCATCGGAGCTGGAGGCGGCGTTCCTGGAGCGGTGCGCGGCGTCGGGCGACGCGGCCTACGGCGAGCTGAGGGAGCTGCTGGCGCGCCTCCACGACCCGGCCACGCGGCAGGAGGCCAGGGTCTTCCTCACCTGCCTCCGCCGCCGCTCCTGCTCCGGCGAGGGCGAGGAGGGATTCTTCCGGCGGTACGGGTTCTGCGTCCGGGAGCTGCTCCTCCACGACTCACGCTGCGGCCTCCCCATCACCACCCTCTCCTCAGGTACGTACACCACCTCTCAATCCAGCATCAAATTATGCGCTCATCTCTCTGCGATCGAATAATTCCTGTCCTTTCTTGTTTATTATTTTTTGTTTCTTCTGTTCTTGCTGTCATTGTCTTCTGGTGACGACGAGCGATTAGGACGTGGTGATGAATTTTTCTACGCATGTTAACGCCTAACCACAGCTTAGCTAGACAGGGTCAAGTCAACCTCCAAGTCTTATTAACAGAAAAACAAAATTGTACGTATAGTAGCACTAGCTACTGTATTTCGCCGTCGCTTACGGCGGAAAAGAAAACAGAAATACACCATCTTTTGTCTCTG